TACCCCTGAGTTAAAGGAAGAGGAGATACCCCTGAGTTTAAAGGAAGAGGAGATACCCCTGAGTTAAAGGAGAGGAGATACCCCTGTGTTAAAGGAGAGGAGATACCCCTGAGTTAAAGGAAGGAGATACCCCTGTGTTAAAGGAGAGGATACCCCTGAGTTTAAAGGAGAGGAGATACCCCTGTGTTAAAGGAGAGGAGATACCCCTGTGTTAAAGGAGAGGAGATACCCCTGTGTTTAAAGGAGAGGAGAGACCCCTGTTAAAGGAGAGGAGATACCCCTGTGTTAAAGGGAGGAGATACCCCTGAGTTAAAGAAGGAGATACCCCTGTGTTAAAGGAGAGGAGATACCCCTGTGTTAAAGGAGAGGAGATACCCCTGAGTTAAAGGAAGAGATACCCCTGAGTTAAAGGAGAGGAGATACCCCTGTGTTAAAGGAGAGGAGATACCCCTGAGTTAAAGGGCAAGAGGAGATACCCCTGAGTTAAAGGAGAGGAGATACCCCTGAGTTAAAGGAGAGGAGATACCCCTGAGTTAAAGGAGAGGAGATACCCCTGAGTTAAAGGGCAAGAGGAGATACCCCTGAGTTAAAGGGAGGAGATACCCCTGAGTTAAAGGAGAGGAGATACCCCTGAGTTAAAGGGCAAGAGGAGATACCCCTGAGTTAAAGGAGAGGAGATACCCCTGTGTTAAAGGAGAGGAGATACCCCTGAGTTAAAGGGCAAGAGGAGATACCCCTGTGTTAAAGGAGAGGAGATACCCCTGAGTTAAAGGAGAGGAGATACCCCTGAGTTAAAGGGCAGAGGAGATACCCCTGTGTTAAAGGGGAGGAGATACCCCTGAGTTAAAGGAGAGGAGATACCCCTGAGTTAAAGGAGAGGATATACCCCTGAGTTAAAGGAGAGGAGATACCCCTGAGTTAAAGGAAGAGGAGATACCCCTGAGTTAAAGGAGAGGAGATACCCCTGAGTTAAAGGGCAAGAGGAGATACCCCTGTTAAGGAGAGGAGATACCCCTGAGTTAAAGGAGAGGAGATACCCTGTGTTAAAGGAAGAGAGATACCCCTGTGTTAAAGGAGAGGAGATACACCTGTGTTAAAGGACGAGGAGATACCCCTGTGTTTAAGGAGGGAGAGGAGATTACCCCTGTGTTAAAGGAGAGGAGATACCCCTGAGGTAAAGGGCAAGAGGAGGATACCCTGAGTTAAAGGAGGAGGAGATACCCCGGAGTGAAAGGAGAGGAGATACCCCTGAGTTAAAGGGAGAGGAGATACCCCTGTGTTAAAGGAGAGGAGATACCCCGTGAGTTAAAGGAGAGAGATACCCCTGTGTTAAATGAGAGGAGATACCCCTGTGTTAAAGGAGAGGAGATACCCTGTGGTAAAGGAGAGTGAGTACCCCCTGAGTTAAAGGAGAGGAGATGACCCATGTGTTAAAGGAGAGGGAGATACCCCCGTGTGTAAAGGAGAGGAGATACCCCTGAGTTAAAGGAGAGGGGAGATACCCCTGTGTATAAGGAGAGGAGATACCCCTGTGTTAAAGGAGAGGAGATTACCCCTGTGTTAAAGGAGAGGAGGATACCCCTGAGTTAAGGGCAAGAGGATATACCCTTTAAAGGAGAGGAGATTACCCCTGTGTTAAAGGAGAGAGATACCCCTGAGTTAAAGGGCAAGAGGAGATACCCCTGTGTTAAAGGAGAGGAGATACCCCTGTGTTAAAGGAGAGGAGATACCCCTGAGTTAAAGGAGAGGAGATACCCCTGTGTTAAAGGAGAGGAGATACCCCTGTGTTAAAGGAGAGGAGATACCCCTGTGTTAAAGGAGAGGAGATACCCCTGTGTTAAAGGAGAGGAGATACCCCTGAGTTAAAGGGCAAGAGGAGATACCCCTGTGTTAAAGGAGAGGAGATACCCCTGTGTTAAAGGAGAGGAGATACCCCTGTGTTAAAGGAGAGGAGATACCCCTGTGTTAAAGGGAAGAGATACCCCTGTGTTAAAGGAGAGGAGATACCCCTGAGTTAAAGGAGAGGAGATACCCCTGTGTTAAAGGAGAGGAGATACCCCTGTGTTAAAGGAGAGGAGATACCCCTGTGTTAAAGGAGAGGAGATACCCCTGTGTTAAAGGAGAGGAGATACCCCTGTGTTAAAGGAGAGGGAGATTACCCCTGAGTTAAAGGACAAGAGGAGATACCCTGTGTTAAAGGAGAGGAGATACCCTGTGTTAAAGGGCAAGAGGAGATACCCCTGTGTTAAAGGGCAAGAGGAGATACCCCTGTGTTAAAGGAGAGGAGATACCCCTGAGTTAAAGAAGAGGAGATACCCCTGAGTTAAAGGAGAGGAGATACCCCTGAGTTAAAGGAGAGGAGATACCCCTGTGTTAAAGGGCAAGAGGAGATACCCCTGTGTTAAAGGAGAGGAGATACCCTGTGTTTAAAGGGCAAGAGGAGATACCCCTGTGTTAAAGGGAGAGGAAGATACCCCTGTGTTAAAGGGCAAGAGGAGATACCCCTGTGTTAAAGGAGAGGAGATACCCCTGTGTTAAAGGGCAAGAGGAGATACCCCTGTGTTAAAGGGCAAGAGGAGATACCCCTGTGTTAAAGTGCATTTAGCGGTGATTGCACGTCTGGTTGTTTCTCAACCATTCTCTGAGTTGACCTTTGAAGCTATTGAGAGTGGGACAATCCCGTATCTCAGTAGGGAGGCTGTTCCACAAAGAGCTGCCTTTAATGGAGAGGACATTTTGTCCAAAAGTGGTCCTTCTGCGGTGGACCTCACAGTCTCCTCTGGTTTCTGACCTAGTGCAGCGTCCAGTGTGCTTTCTGTGGATGAATTCCCCTAGGGGGTGGGGGGGGGGGGGGGGGGGGCAGTCCATGTAAACATTTATAAATAAAGCTCATACTTTTAAAAGACTTAAAATGGTCAAAACTCAAGAAATGGTGTTTCTCTAGGATGGTATAGTGGTGGTATGAATAAGGCTTTCTGTCAAACACCTTGATAGCTCTCTTGTACAGCTGTTCTATGGGTTTCAGGTTTGTGGCACAAGCAAACGACCAGTTTGTCAAACAGTATTCAATGTGGGATAGAATCATACAGTGGAGGTATGACTTTGCAGCATTGACACTTAAGAAAGGTCTGATTTGTTTAAAATGTAGCAAGTTGAATTTAACGGTATTTGATACTTTCTTAATGTGTTTCTTAAAAGTCAAGTTCGAGTCCAGTATGACTCCAAGATACTTGAACTGGGAGACTAGTTCTATTTCTGCTCCGTTTAAAAACACGTTGGATCCTTTCATTTTGACTGGTCGTTTACTGAACATCATGCATACTGTTTGTTTTGCATTTAACTGTAAGCAAATGTTGTTCAGCCAGTGTTGAACCTTGTCCAAAGCATTAGAGAGACAAGATGAGATCATTTCAGTGTTTTTCCCGTGTACAAAGATGACCGCATCATCGGCATACATTTGCACATTCAACTCAGGACATACATTAGGCAAGTCATTAATGTACAGAGAAAACAGTAATGGTCCAAGAATGGAACCTTGTGGAACCCCAACAGGGTTCACAAGGTAGGGGGATTTGGTACCGTTGACCAAAACACACTGTTTTCTGTTCGATAAGTAAGACCTAACCCACTGTATTGAATCTGCAGAAGGAGCTTTGTAAGGAGCACTTGGTGGTCAACTGTGTCAAAAGTAGGGATGCTCCGATCGATCGGTCACCGATCGAGATCTGCCGATACTCACTCTCTACCGATCGATCGGTGCTCTCTAAACATGCCGATCGCGAGGGCCGATCGCATGACGTAAAATACAAGACACTTTTCTCTGTGCGCGGCAAAACAAGCTCGCCAAAATGGCTTCACCGGTCTGGCATTATTTTAAGGTGTCCGAAAAAGACAGTAAAATAGCGGTATGCAACGTGTGTGAAGCAGAAATGCTGCAGCTCCACCCGCTGTGACGGACCGGTGAGCGGAGCAGAACACACAAGAGTTAGACCTAACACACTTAGCTATTTGATCTACCTCTGGAACAAGTTATAAATATATTTATTCTTCACTGTCGGGTCACTCATTACTGGATCAGTGAGCTGCATGAGACTATACTGACGGGCTGTCAGGAGAGGGAGAGAGGGGGAGAGAGAGGGGGAGAGAGGGGGAGAGAGGGGGAGAGAGAGGGGGAGAGAGGAAAAGAGAGCGCTTCGGCTCATTTCTCCCGTGTTATTATATTATCCAAAGTGAATGTAAACTTGAATAATGTACTTCCTTTGAATGTAATAATTAAGTTGATTGTTGTTTGTGGAAGCTCCAGTGAATGAGCCCCATTAACTGAGTTTTAAACATCACTTTAAATGGAAGATTTAAAGTGATGTTTATATCTTCCATTTAGGCCCCGCCCACTCGATCGGATCCGCGATCGGTATCGGCCGATACTGATTCTGGCGATCGGCCCCAAAATTGGCGATCGGAGCATCCCTAGTCAAAAGCCTTCCTGAGATCAAGGAAGACAGCACCTACATATGGGCTCGTGTCCAACATACATTTAACCTTTTCCACAAAGACACAGTTAGCTGTCTCAGTGAGTGGTGAGCACGGAAACCAAACTGCATAGGGTGGAGTGGAGCGAAGCCTTTATCTAAATGGTTAGTGATTAGTTTTGACACCCATTTCTCAGCTACCTTAGAGACACAGGGGAGGATGCTGATTGGTCTGTAATTGGACATCATTGCCTTATCCCCAGATTTAAAGATCGGTGTCACCGTGGCCACCTTCCAGGATGATGGAACTTCCCTTTGTGCTCGGTACATTATTATTATTTGCACGCATAACGGCAACAAGTCCTCCAGGATAAAAACAAACCGGATTTTACTGTAAATGTTAGCCTCACTTAGCTGAACTCTTGCACGTAGTGTTCTGCTCATGTTCCGGAGTATTCATTCTGCTCCGTCCCCACACAGCTAAATCCTTCTCCAAGGCCCCCTCCCCCAGCCACAGTGTGTCAGGGGGCTTCTCCAAGAGCGGCTCGTCCTCCAGCAGCTACGACTACAGCCAGGACGCCGAGGCGGCCCACATGGCAGCCACCGCCATCCTGAACCTGTCCACCCGCTGCTGGGAGAGGCCCGAGACCCTCAGTGCCCCCCGGGAGCCCTGCAGCAAGGTACACACACACACACACACACACACACACACACACACACACACACACACACACACACACACACACACACACACACACACACACACACACACACACACACACACACACACACACACACACACACACACACACACACACACACACACACACACACCCTGCTGACCCTCCCTCCACCCTGCAGGAGTCCCACATTGAAGTGGATGAGAACGGCACTTTGGACCTCAGCATGAAGAGGACCAAGAGGGATGGCGTGCAGCCTCCAGAGCCTTCATCTTCCTCGTCTTCATCCTCTCAACACATCGGAGCCCCCCTTTCTCAGGGCCACACCCAGCCAGAATGGGAGGGGCCGCTGGACTTCACCAAACCAAGTGGAGTCAAAGAGGAAGACCAGGAAGAGGTAAAGCTTGCAGACATCAAACACTGTGAGGACATACAGCCAGATCAGAGGAGATGAACCTGATCTACTTTTCTTCAGGTGGAGTATACGGCTCCTTCATACACATCATCTGATGGAGAGGAAGAGGACCCGGAGAACCTGGAGGACAGGAAGTACCCTGGTGAGGTCACCACCGGCAGCTTCAAGGTCAAGTTTCAGCCCAAAGACAGCAAAAAAGAAGTTCTTTTGTAAGTCACAACTTTAACACTACATCCATAACTTCTCTCCACTACACGTTGACGTTTGTGTTACTTTCTTGGTTCAATGAGATGTCAGGGACATTAATATTAAAACGAACACCATGTAAAGGGAGTCTAATGAGCCTCACCTTTGGTCCGAGGATGTGAACCTGGTTAGAGGTCAGAAGTGGCACTCACCACAGAGGGTTGTGATAGACTGAGAAACCTGTTCACGAGTCCATCAAACACACCCTATACAGTATTGCTCTCTAAACCTTATGCTTTGATCATGTCAAAAAGAGTTACTGTTGAGATCTGGTCTGTATGGCAGGTGTGATGCTCCTGGTCAGCTGATGAAGGACAGATGCACATATTCAAACTTGGACCAAAGGTTGATTATAATGATTGATCATGAAAGTGTTCTCAAAGCTGGTAAAGGTGCAGCTAGTTTGAATGACTTTGTATACTGCAGGGTAGCTTGTGAATTTACTCCAGGTGGAACTAAAGTCTGATTTAACACTTGATTATATTTCACATCATTCATCCACATCTGTAAAGTAACTCAAGGTATTATATACATGTAGTGGAGAAAAGGTACACCATGTACCTCTGAATTGTAGTGGAGTAGAAGAACACAGTAGCATAAACTGGAAACGCTCAAGTAAAGTGCAAATATCTCAAAATTGTAATTAAGTACAGTACTTGGGTAAATGTACTTAGTTACTTTACACTTCTGCCGTCTTGAGTTGTTAGCTGATGTGAATCTCACATCTATCCCATCACTGCCGCCGCTAAGACATTTCAGAACAAGTGCAGAGCGTTATTGACGGCTAACCCTTAACAACACATCAGATGTACACTGTCGTGTTTTGTTCAGTGTGAGCCCCCTGTTCTGATCTGAGTGTGTCTCTCCACAGATGTCCCACCCCCGGCTGTGACGGCAGTGGACACATCACTGGAAACTACGCATCACATCGCAGGTAAGAGCTGCTTTTCACTTTACAGTCATTAGTGGGACAGTTTGTTTCATTTATCAATCTAACAGGTTTGATGATTTTGACTGGAATCATTCATAGAGAAATGATGAGTTCTTGGTCAATTTGATCGTCATTTGCCAGTTTGTTGATTTGTTTTGAAACACTGGAAAATAACGACAAAGTTACAAGCTCCACTAAATCCTTCTCCATGGAATGACTCAACATTCAACATGAATCAGCCTGTTGCAGGACACAGAGCTTGAATAAGGCCAGTACTCACTCTAAATGTCAGGGTATCTTAGGTAGGTGTAGTTACTTTTGGGTCAAAAAGGATTTTCTTTTGCTCAAACAAGCCACAAGTAGGCCTAATGTGCAGCTGTGTCAAGTATAATATGTTGGAAGTTGGAAAGCTGGTGGATAAGAGCATTATTTTGTGCCGGAGCTCTGCAGCCTCGCTCCATGCACCGAGGCTGGCAGCTGGCACAGATATTAGATATCATCTATACACATGAATTTCTACTTGCATTTCATATTGCAAAGAGATCAGCAACATGAATCATTCTTGAAATTGCTTGTGCCCCCAAATTCTGCATGTACGTGATTAAGGTTGTGAGTAAAGTAAAACAAGCACTGGCACTCACCCCCCCTCACAATACATGAGGAGCATTTTAGTATAAATATTCTTCCAAAATGTATTTTGGCGTAAGTCTTTTCTAAGTATGAAGTTCTGCAACAATGACTTTGTTACTTTGTTTAACT